ACTGGACTCTCTGGATCAATGGTCCAAGCTGGTCCAAGGCAGCTTCTTGTTTTCTTAGGCATTTGGCAGGCCACCTGGTACTGGATTCTAAACTACTCTAAAGGCTGCAAATTCCAGAGGCCTGATGGGGCACGGTGGCATAACACTGGGTGGGCCAGGTGAGCTCCCTTAACATTCGCACTTGCAGTTCTGAGCATTAAAGGTTTATCGACATTTCATCAGCCACAAAACCCTTGCCAAGAAAGCTGAAGAAAGGCTAATTTGTTTTTATTTTTTTAAGCACACACGAATGCAAAAACAAAAGAGACTGTAGGACATTGCGCTGACTGTTCAAAGTCACGAGGAGAAAACAGAGGGCAATCTTTTCAATGCAGCAGTGCGTTTGGCGGTACCAGACTGGGACACAATCTGATCCTCGCTCATCAGGGTGCTTATCTTGGACAACAGAGTTGTGAAGGGCAGTGTGTTTGCTGGGCTGGGGGCAGGGCTTTGCTCCTTGTCTGTTCAACATCCATGGCCAGGATGGGAGGGAAGGAAAGTATGCACACCTCACCTTCTCATCCTTGTCTCTACATGTCTTACCCCATCCTTCTCCACCCTAGCATCCACCACATGCTATGTACAGGATGCTGGGAGTTGTAGTCCAACAGATCAGGAGGGTACCAGCTTGGAAAACTGTGCCTTGCCACAAGTTCTGCCTCTCAAGGGGAAGGCTTTATAAAGGCTTTCTCAAGGGTGCCACTACTAAGAAGTCCTGCAAAAGTCAAATCCCATTAATTTTGGAATGACCAGCAAAGCCTTCTCTGAAAACCTTTAAGGTCAGCTAGGTATATAAAAGGGCAGGCGATGTGTTACACAGTAATAACCTTTAACACGGATTGGTGCAGTTCTTTAATGCAGATCAGATGTAAGCATAGTTTGGGTCCAGCTACTACTGCATTCTGCTCAAGCTGCAGCTTCTGAGCCAGGCCCAAGGGTAGCTCCACACAGATCTCATTACAGTGATTTAATCACGAGGTTACCAATGCTCTGGGTCTCCAGTGACAGGGCTGGATCCAGGAGCAAACCGAATCTACACAGCTGCTCCTTCACAGAGAATACTACCTCGTCCAGAACAAACTGCTCAGTTCCCAGACCCAGAAATTGCAGTCCATACAGACTCTGCCTTACTGGAATTCAGCTTCGATCCGTTAGCCCTCATCCCAGCCATAAGTGCCTCCAGGCACTGGTCCAGTCACCATTCTGACACCATCCTCGGGCATTAGTCAGGCCTTTGCCATTCTCTTCACCAATGCCTTGCCTGCCTCAATCTTAAAGCAAGCGTTATGGGCAGAAACATCACCAATGCTTTGGTCTGCACAGCCTATCAAAGTCTCAAAACATGGTTTTGTAGCAGATGGCAAGTTCAAACAGGTGACTAGGACTGCAAAAACACACCACGCTTCTTTGAGTTTCTTGGCCTCTGTCCACCTTGTCTAACCTAATTCTGTTGTTTATAGTTCTGCATTCTTTATCAGAGCAATCAACTGAAGCGTTTTGTTAATTAACTGGCAGGAGTACATTTTAGGCGGTGGATGTGAAAATTAAATACACATTTACATTAATACACATTTAATTTTCTGGTGGGTTGGATAACAGGGCTGGGTCGTTTGGTCATGGGTTGTTGATTTGTTGTTGTGTTTATTATTGCTTTCTAAATACGATTATTTTGTTATTCCGATGGTTTTTTAAATCTGTAAACCTCCCAGAAAGTCCAGTGGGTTATGGGGCAGTATAAAAGTGTAATAGTAGTAAGTTTACCCCTCTAAAACATAGTTTATTAAAAGGCAGATGATTAATCATTTCAGGGTGTAAACCTAGGCATGTTCAGACAGCAAAGGGTGCTGGGGCACAATTAGGCAGCATACAAATGTTTTAAATAAATAAATAAATAATAAAAGTCCTACAGCTCCCAGCATCCCCATGCATAGGACTGTACCTCAACATGCTCTTTAGAAGTTGATGACTTTGAGTAAGAGTGGCTAGTTTAAATACCATGTTTGAGCAAAAGGCCCCAAATATTAAGCATGGTTAAAAAAACCCATGACTATAAAGAGAAATTCTTTCCTTCTATAAAGCTGGTGGCGGTAGAGGTAGTTGTTAATGATACACTTTGTCAACTTTGCTAATCTCAGGATGCCTCCCAGAAAACACATTTCCCCAAAATATCTGAAAATGTTAGAGGCAAAGATCATAAAAGGGGCTCTGACCAAGTATTTTCACCCAACACGAGAGGGCAGATGGATCAAAGCCTGCCAAGTCTATATAGGTGGTCCAAGAAACAGAGAAAGAAAGGAAGCCATGTAAAGAGCATTCAGTGATGGGAACTGGCAGCTATTCAACTTCTCATCATTATGCTGCTCTTCCCCAGCACTTCTGCTCCATACAGTGTCAAGTGGCTTCAGCAGAAAAACACAGGCAGGCGATTTAACAGCCTCAATGAGCCAACAAGTTCTTTTGCTTCCAGTCAAGAATGAATATGAGGAACGGGTTCAAGGCTTGGGTCATCAGCTCTTAAAAATCATGCCAGGCAAGCTTTCAAGGTTCAGCAGAGCAAAAAAGCAAAAGGAAAATGGTGACAACAGCTGCTGAATGTGGCAATTGAGCATGAAAGTGAGAGAAAATATGCATAAAAATGAATTAAGAACAATCCTGGTTGCCTGAAAATAAATCCATACGTCCTGGTCTGAAAATAATTATATTGTATGTAATAGGTACTGTTCTTGAATTCATTGAAATAAGGAACAAAAATGCAGATAGGATGCGATGTATAGACACTTTTTGTATTGTTTGGAGTTGATTGTACAATTTTAACAGTCCCTTTTGATCTAGAAAGATTGGATAAACTGTTTTTTCCTTAAACAACATTTCAATTGCAACTTAGCCAAGTGAAATATGTTTGCTTTCTAACTACTGGTATACATGATTTCTAGATGTTAAAAATATAATAGGAACTTTTTGGTGTCAGGCAAAACCCTTTTTATTTTCCTGCTATTTTAATGTTTAATTAATTTTAACTGGAGTTTTAGTATATTAATGGTCAGATTCTGTGGGGTTTGTTTTATTCTACTCATTCATTGTAAGCCGTCTTGATACATATGGGATAGAAAAGCTTGAAATAAATCAATAAATCTTTTCTATGTAGATTTAGTGAAGTGAAATGTGTAGGTTTTGCAATCAGTGGTCCCTCATTATACAAATTGTTATCCAGATTGCAATGGTATGGCCACTAGCTGCTGTCTAGGAGATACACTATGAGGCTGGATTCCAACCTTGGAGCACCCTTCCTCTGAGCTTACAGCAAGTGCGGTTCTTTCTGTGCTGGCTTCAGATATGAATCACAAGCGCTGTTCTAGAAACAGGGCATGGCTGGAGAGGTAGGGAAGAGTGCGGTTCCTGTAGGATCTGAGGAAGGGGCAAAAGGCACAGACAGCTGCAATCGGGCATCGGTGTCTGTTTTGCAGATTCCTCTCACGCTAGAATGCAAAGCCCATAATCCCTCAGGTTCAGAGTGTTAATGCAAGCCACAGTGGAATGTACTCTATGGGCTGGCACTGAATGTATCTATCACCTATCTACTGAAATAAATTAAATGAAGAATGAAAACAAAAAGGGCTATTACTGGGATTAGGGTAACTAATGAAAGGAGAGCTTCAAAACATACAGGTGGTTTTTGTCTTCTGCCTCTCATCAAGATACACTTCACACAAACTGCAGGAGAGACACAGATACTTCCTGGAATGTACCGCTTCTGCCCCATTCCTGGAATGTATCACTTCTTCCCCCTATGTGGGGAACAGCACGACTCCTCCAAAGAAAAGCTCCACAGAAAGAAAAATTCTAATTAAGCCCTTTCCAGGATTTAAGGTGCAATCCTATGCATGTTTTAAGACAGAAAAGAAGTCCCACAACTTCCCAGCAGACTGGGAATTCTAGGATTTCTGTCTTTCAGCAGGCAGAAGACTGTAGCCTCAGATATAAAGGGACCCACCCTGCTCCATTGCTCATCAGCCATGTCTTCACAAGTACAAGCTTGAAATTGGTTTGCTACCTCAGTTCCCATTTAGGCAAACGAGGCCTCACGGTGAAAGAGCATTGTTTTGCCTGCTCTACTCCAGCACCGCATCTACAACCAGCCGATGAAGATGTCATGCATCTGACCCTTGTGCAGGCCACCGAGATAATACATGAAGCACTTCTATATTCAAAACTTGTACCTAAATGCATACTACTATTATTATAAATGAAAGTCACACTAAAAGCCCGATGTCAGTTCCTCAAATCTAGGCACATTTCACATATTTATAAGTGATGCCAGAGCATAAAGCTGCTCAGAAAACTACTTTTTTTGATCTCAGGAGCATTGCTTATGATAATGCAAAATTTTGAACTTCGAGCTATGTAATGGGGCATTTTGCAGGGCTTTCATTCATAGGGTTACAACAAGTTAGAGACGATCTGATGGCACATAACAAGACACCTTGGATTCCTCGCACGTGTAAAAAAAGGCAGGATATAAAATCAGAATAATAACAAAGCAATATTTTCCTTCACTGCTCTCCCCTGTTCAAGCCAGTGGTGCACTTTGGAATATTACACTCTGAACTTTACAATGCAATCCTGTTCAGATGCAACTCCCACTGTGTTTGATGCATCTCACTCCCAAGAATATGCATTTATAGGATTGCAGCCTTAAAGCGTTTACACCCATCCCTCTCCAAAACGACTCCACTTGCATTTCATCTCTTCCTTCGAGGGTCCTCCTGCCCTTCTTGCGCTTTCCGGAGGGTCCCGGGCTTCTGCCTTCATGGAACTAAGGCTTCTGCCTTCCCCAACCTGGCGCCCTCCAGATGTGCTCGTTAACAATTCCCAACAGTCCAGGAATGCTGGGAGTTGTAGTCCAACAGCCCTTGGAAGCGACCTTACACCAAAATAACTGCTGTCTAGCCCTCTTCACCCACCTTTCGAGAACCGAGGGTACTGTTCTCCCTGCTTCCCCCGCCGCCGCCGGCGGGGAAGTGACTCCCGGTTGCTTGCAGGCTTATCTCCGAGCGCCGCCGGTGGGGGTCGGCCGCCTCCCGAGCACCCAAGTGGAGCAGCCGGAGCTGCCGCTCGCTCTCGCCCCGGCGGGGAGCAGCCACCGCGAACCAGAAGCGGACAGGGCTGGGCAGCAGCGACTCCCGCGGGAGGCGGCAGTGGGGGAGCGGGTGGCTGCCCGCGGGGTGCCTCCCGCGCCGAGCTTCTTTCCCCGCCGCCGCCGCCGCCGCGGCCGCGTAATGAAACTGCACCTGCCCGCTCAGGAGGCGCCCCCGGGCAGCAGCGGCGCCCCCGCCCCGAGGCGCCCCCGCCGCCTGCAGGCGGCTCCTGGCGGCTTCCCAGAGGGCCGCGCTCCCGCTCGCAGCCTGGAGCAGCCCCTTGGGGAGAAGCGCATGCGGGGCGCACGGCTGGCCTAGCCAAAGCATGGCAGCGGCAGCGCGGCCTCGTCCGCGTCCGCTCCCTGGGAGCCACCGAGCGGCCCCGGCGCACGGAGGCGGCAGATCAGGCCCCGGGAGGAACAGCCACCCACCCCGCCCGGCACCCTCCTCCTTAAAGGGGCCGCGCCGCCTGTCCTGACTCCGCGACGGGGCATCGGCTCGGAGGGATCCCGCCTCCAGGCAGTTCCTTTACTTCGGGCAATTCGCCCTCAGGAGGCTGCCGGGCAGAAAGCGGGGTCAAAACAGAGGAAAGCCGCCCGTTCTCCCTCTTCCCCTGCAAGTCGCTGCCTTGAATCAGGACCCACGTCAAGGCCGGTTTGCTCAGTTTTGGAGCCTGAGTGGGGAGCCACGGCTCCGTGGGGCAGACCTGGGCTTCTCCTGCAGCCTCGGTTCACGGCCGAGGCTGGCCCCTGCCCCACCTCCATTTATCAGTTTTTTTGCGCGGATCTCTGGGATCCATGTGTTTCTCCGCCATGTCCCCTTTTTAGCATCGTTCTGGGGCGTTGTGGAAAGTATCCAGGGCCTCGGTGGAGCTACCCAGGACTGCTCAGATGCTATCAGATCTTGCTTTGGACCCATTGGGGTGCATTTTGTCTGTGGCCCCCACAGGACTTGGGGTCACAGCTCTGCATTCTTATTGTCAGGGTGAGTTACCATGACATATGACTGTCTCTGTATTTGCAATAGTATCTATTTAGCTTGTGAGCAAAACTATATATCAAAATGCCAAGCCTGGGATGAGTACATCACCATAGGCAGGGAAGGCAAGGGGGAATAGGATCTTGGTGAACTCTGATTTCAAAGGGATTAGTACTTCAGCAAAAGTGGTACCAAAACAGTGGATTTTAGGTGTTGACTTTTCAAAGGGATCCTTTTGATCTTTTTATTTACCAAGGAAGATGTGCTTAACCTAAAGAAAAACTTTGGTGCCTGAAAATTCTTTCGACCTTACAGTCCAAGATAGCCACAGAGATCAGCATGAGAAGATGCAATGCTCAAACAGCATGGTGAGAAAGTAGGCTTGATGTGTAAGTCCTTGACTGTGTTCAGAGTAAGAATGCACTGCAGGACAGACAGATCTCGAAAAGGGACATCAAGGGCACTTTGCATTTGTTAACTGAGAGACTGTTCACAAACTTGTGAGCTGCTTGTACTGGATTAGGGCTTTATGCATTGTCTGTGACTCTGGTGCCCAATACCTAGATACTTTCTGAAAAGGATACATATATAGCATGTTTCCAAAAAGTCCTGGCTTGTTGTATTACTAGTTTCTTCAATCTTTGCTTAAGTCTTACACACACACACCCCTTACTGCAGACCTTCCAACTACACCTCTGTAATAAATACATTTTGTAAACCACAAAGCACCTTTCCACGCATAGTTGTCATACATTGATTGTTTACATTCTCGGTCCATTTTTGCACCAATTTCAACCCAAACCCGTGTGAGAGATGCTTTCCTAGACTGTACTGTTTTGGTAATAGATGATTACAGATACCCCCAAAGGAGTCTCAGGGACTGCTTCTTAGAACCTGCAGGCAAGAGGGTGCCGCTAAAAAGGCCTTGTACATGTGAGGTGAGGTAAATTCCACCCATGATGAGTCAAACGTGCAACCCACAGCTAGTAGCCAGAAGTGATACAGCCCAGGAAAAGTTTTACCACTTGTTTTTGCTGCTTGGGAAGACTTCAGGGATCTATTTTGCCTCTTTCTTCTTTCTTACTAGTAGGTCCACCAACTGAAGTCAGTTACAACATAATTCCTCAGCAATTATAACCCTGGTAGAATGAAGGCACATGTCTCTCAGCACATGGTCCAGGTCCAGGATGTTTTTAGGTGAAAGAGTCTTAGCACTAACAACTAGAAAACATTAGACATCTATTCCTTCTTTTTGTTTTTAAAGGATTTTCCATAATGTCATAGGAAAATTGGAGCATTCTGTGAATGAAGAAGTAGTATTATGTCACCATGAAAGCCTCATCTGAAGCCACACCAATCCTTTCTTTGAACTGTGCTCATAGTCTTTTCACACAAGATCCTGCCTCTGGTTTCTTCATTTCAGTTGAATCTTAATTTAAGAAGAGTCCTCACTGCCTTGTTGTGGCAGTTAGGAGTCAGAAATCTTGGTAGATCTACTGCACATGATTAGATCCTGATCTACTATCACTATGGTCATCAAAAGCTACAATATTATTATCATCATCATCATCATCATCATCATCATTATCTAGAAGGAAGGGGAATGTGAAAGAAGTGCAATTCATTAAGCATTTTCTGTGGCAATGTGAAAAGGAAGGACAGGGAAGTACATGGGCACCAACTGGCAATAAATGGGAATGACTATCATTTCCATGATAAGTTACCACCTTCACATTATGTTTTTTTCATCTTCAATTGTTCTGTTTTCATGAGTGAAATAAAAAGAATCCAAATATGTAAAATAGAAAATAACAATTTATAGTTTCAAAGAAATGTGTTCAGTTTTGACATAAAAGCATTAAAAAAGCTCAAAAAGATAAAAAAATGAGATAAAACAGACAATAATGGTATCCATTCTGCTTTTACAATAAAAGCACTTTTTGCAATTATAGCATTTACAGATGTACATTTCTGTAAATAGTGACCATGTTAATCTTAAAGGCCAATTTTGACAAAATATTTTTCTTGCAAAAAGACTATCCGGTGGATGAATATATCCAGAAAAGATTCCAGAATGTGTGTTCGGTGTTAATTTTGCAGAATTGATGCATAAGCAGGAGACATGATTTCTTGGATATTGATATTACTGCAATATTAATATATTATCATGTACAGGGGCAGTGTTATCTAGTGCTCAGAGTTAAGAACTAGGACTCAGGGTTCAAGTCTCCACTCATCCATGAACGTCATTGGGTGACTTTGGGTCACTCAGTAACTGTCAGGCTAACCTACTTCACTGGGTTGTTGTGAGGTTAAAATGGAGAGGAGGAAGATTATGGAAGTTGTTTTGGATGCCTTGCAAGAGGAAAAAAGACAAAATATAAATTTAATAAATTAATAAATAATATCAACACCAGGTCAAGACCTTTTTATTTGGCCAGTGTTTTAACATATAGTAATTTTAATTGTGTAAGACTTATTTAATTTATTTTAAATAAAATACTGGCCAAATAAATGCTCAGTGTGGAATAGTTACCTCATTTTATTGAAGACTGAAATAATGTTGTAAGCCGTACAGAAATCTATTTCCTATTCTCATGTGACATTTTCATGACTATTATTTCATAGAGGAAAATTCTATTTGGGGACATTTTGTTTTGCAGCATCAGTATCAGTTGACGGTTGCATTGGTGGAGGTTGCCTAATGAGGTACTATCTAAGCCCTCCATGCTGGAACTGGTGAACCTGAAGCCTTGATAAAAAGCCTACAGGCTGCATGGCTGCCTTTATAGTATGAGTTCAGTGAAAGACTTTGCCCAAGTAAACAAGTAATGGACAAAACCACATTGCACCACTTAAGTGCTGTAAAGAATTCCCATCGCTGCTGGATGGACACAATGCTTGAGATGTGCCCAGAAATGCACATAGTCCTTGGAACTGTGTGCAGTTCTGGATGCTCTGTCTCTACAAGGAGCTGTAAAAAGTGCTGAAAAGAGCAACTAAAGTGATGATCATCTGAGCTTAGGAAAAATGTGAGTAAAAGAGGACATGACAGAGATATATAAAATTAGGCATGGGGTGGAGCAAGTGGATCGAGAGACTTCTAGCACTTCAGGAGACTGATTGATATGAGATTCAGAACACACGAAAGGAACTTCTTTACAAGGTGTACAGTTATGCTGTGGGATTTGCTTCCACTCTCCTGGATGGCTTTAACAGGGTAATAGACAAATCCATGGAGTAGAAAGCTACCAGCTAGTCACAATGGCTATAGGCTATCTCCGAGATCAGGCAGGTTGTCCCCAGTTACCTGTTGCTGGGGCTATGAGTGAGTTATTGTCCTCAAATCCCTTGTGTCGGCTTCTCCTAGATATCTAGTCGGCCAATGCGAAAAGAGCTTGCCGGACTAAATAGACCTTTGCCTGATTGGGCAGGGCTTATCTTAGGTTCTGCTCTTATGTTCTAATGTCTTTCCAAAGAACAAACAGCAGCAGTGTTTTCTCCTCACTGTCTTCCCTATGATTTGGTGCCCTGCTTCCACGCACCTGACTCTTTAGGAACAGCCCCCATCTGTATCCAAATCAGCTTCCTTGTCTTCTTATGGCACATCTGTAGAGCTGTTAGGCCTAATTCCTACTTACTGGGTGGAGGGGAGGGATAGAAGAAAGGTTGCAAAATGTGGGACTTTTTAGTGTGAAAAGTCTAATATCATTCTTGGCGTGAGGAAACTGGTGAGAGGTAAATTTTCATCCTATTCTTATTGTAGAAGAACACATGGACATTATCGTCATTACATTGCATTATACTCCACCTTTCTTCCTTTTGCTAGGCACCCAAGGCAGTTTATAAAGTTCTTTTGCTCTCTATGTTAACCTCACAACATCAACCCTGTGAAGAAGGTTAGATTGAGAGTCTGTGACCAGCCCAAGGTCACCCATCAAGCTTCATAGCTGAGGAACCAGAACCACTGCACCACACTGGCAGACTTAGATTTAAAAGAGGATTAGGCAAATGCATGCCTTTTTACTGAGGCTGCTTCTTCCATTTTTATTAAACAAGGAAGTTAGTGTCCTTCACATGTTTTCCCCCCAGAGGTTTAATTCCTCTGCCTTCCTGTATGTCTTATCAAACAACCACAAGGTGGTGCTGCAATAAAGTATGACTTGGAAAAATACACCTTTGAAGCTATTTAATACCAGACATCATAATGTACCAGACCTTCCCGGATCTAAGAAATGCTGCACAAATGACTGGAAAACATGGGAGAGGCCTTGAGAATGGTGATGATGTGGAAAGAATCCTGAATCTTTGTGAGTGTGGGATTACAAGAACACAACGCCTCATGTGGAGGAGTCCAAAGGCCAAACGTCTGGAGATCAACCTTTTCTCTCTCCTTGGTTTACATTGACTGGCAGTGGCTCCCCAGGGTTCCTACCTGAAATCCTACCTGGAGATCGCCGAGACTGAACTGGTGGCATTTTGGATGCAAAGCATGTGCAGTACTGAGAGCTCCACCTGCTTCCCATGACCCTTCTCTTGCCAGTAAGCACCCAAGTACAATTCACATGACTGAATAAATAGGAACAACATTGTGCTTACTAAAAGTATTCAGGTTCTGATTCTTCCATCTAGAGTTACTTATACTTCACCCAATTAATACCAGATCAAACTGAATGAACAGTCTTGAATACTGTCAAGATTATACCTATATTTTTCATTACATCAACAGAGGCAAGATCATGCTGTAATTGCTTTCTGGATTCCCTGAACTGTTTTAATTCCACCCGTGTTGCTATTTCTGCTAAATTTTAAGAACTGGTGCGTAATGATGGGATGGGGGAGGGGGAGGGCTCTTTGGAAAGAATGGCCCTTTCTAGACCCGCTAGGCTTGCACTATTATGACCAATCTAAAAATGTAACCAATAGGGGGGAAAGTGCTGAAGATCAGAAGAGCTTGGTTGGATCAGATCAAGGGGCCATCTAGTCCAGCATTACATTTGGACGGTGGCTGACTTGCCACTCACATGTTCCCACAAGCAGGGCATGAGTGCCCAAATTCCCCAGCAACTAGTGTACATGGGCACACTGCCTTTCATATTGGAGGTAGCATATGGCCTTTACAACTGGTAGACTTTGGCAACCTTACTGCTCCCACTTTAAAGGCCAATACTATAAGTTGTGGTAGCAAATTGCATCATTTAACCAATGTGTGAAGAAGCCCTTCCTTTTCTCTGTCCTGAATATCCCACAATTCAGCTCTATGGGATGACCCCACTGGGTTCTTTTACCATGGGAGAGGGAGAGAAATGTTCCCCTCTCTACTTTCTTGATCCATGTTTAATTTTGTACACCTCTGCAAAGCCTTTCATGTATACCTCTATCCTAAGCTTCTAAAACAGTAGCTATATAGCATGGTAAAATGCCCGTAAAGCTTCTATAGTCTTTCTGAAATGATACTAAGCTTAAACCCAGCCTCTTCTCTTCTAAGTAGCGGAAACTGTGAAATACTATGGTGTGCCAAGCCATACTGCATAACATCTGTACTGACTTAACTTTGAAACATTACCCTAGGGCACCTGAAAGAAATCCATTTCCCAAGGAATGCAGTATGTGACCTCTAACTACTAAATGCAGCAGTGAAACCCATTCATATTTAATCTCTGCTTAGCTTTTATGCTGCTCCCTCGTGTCCAGAACCTCTCCTTGGACATGTAAAGTATTTAGCAGGTTTCATGCTACAGATCCCAGAGGGAAACATGAAATTCAAAATGCAGATCTGATGGTAAATGTGCTAGCTGGCTGCTGAATATTCATGAAGGCAAACATGATTCTCTCTTTCCTGGGGGCTGCATGTCTTGTGGAAATATGATAGCCTGCCTCTTTGAGAATGTTTGGAAACTGAGAGCATATAACCATCCCACCCCAGGGTGTGATCTAGTTGGAATCAGCAGTGGGTATGGTTGGGCACTAGTTTAGGGCCCAAATCCCTTGCTAAGAACACCTGGGACATTTGCTTGCTTGTTTGCTCATTCATTCATTCCAGAGCAGTGAACAGTAAAAAAACCTGCAACAGATAAAAGAATACAAACAATACATGAAAAACCAGGTAGCATTAAAAGCATGGATGGTTGGCAAGAAACACTTCACAGATGAAAATGTCCAGAGCAGTTTGTTGGTACCAACCTGACTTCCAGAGGAAGGAAATTCCATAGAAATGGGGCCACCGCTCTTCTCCAGTCGGGCCACAGGGCCATGTGGGACCACCTGAAGAATGTCCTCCAATGATCTCAGTGACTGGGCAGGTCTTTAAAGGAGAAGGCACTCTCAGGTGTCCTGGTCTCAGGTTGTTTGGGATTTTAATGTGTATGAGAACTTTAAACCTGGCCTGGTAGAGAATAGGCCACTGCTGCAGTTTCTCCAGTGATGGAATTGCATGCTGGGAAGCAGTATGTTCAGCCCTGCAAAGTTCTTATTCCCATGCCTCTCAGTCTGGCCCGGACTATGGTGGTGGTGGGAAAGTAAATCACTCTTGGGAAGGTCAGCATGGCAGAGATGATACAATGCTTTGGGGGAGTTTGAATGGAAAGACTGGGGAAGCTGGTCCCACTAACTTCACCCCATCGGAAATGATGGGGCGGAGGTGTGACAACAAAGGCTCCTTCTTTTTTCTCTCTAGCCTGTTCTCCTTTTCCATGATTTTTGGGAGGGGACAGGAGGAGTCATTCCCCCACCCATTTTTACTTAAAAAACCCTCTACTCCTTCATGGCAATGGACTTGTACATAGGCTTAATGGATGTTTATGTGAGGGCAGGTTTTCAAGTCTTTTCAACTTCTATTGTTTGGCCGTTGTATTTGTTTCTGAGATAAGACCATGTTTTCAACACAGTGGAAACTGCAGTGCATTTATTACCATTCCCCCGACAGCAATAAATGTTCTTTACATACACACCAAAACAGGGTTCGCTGACACATGGAGGGGTCTGTAGCACAGATTGTCCCTTGATCTTCCGTATATGCTGGTATGCCAGGAACTCAGCAGAACTCCTCCTTTTCCCGCTGGACAGGAGTGCTAAGAACAAGGCCTGGAAAGCATTTGGCAAGCCACGGTGCACGGCTATGAACTGTTCTGATGCAAGCTGGGTCGCCGCTTGTGGGCAAGTTTGCCCTGGGCCCTGTCATTATTGGATTTTAGTTTGTTCTGTGTTTATGCGATCCAGAATAAATGGAATGCAGGCTTGCTTTCTGTGGCTGTCTTGCTCTGCAGCTGTAGCACAGAATTCGGAAGCAAACTCTGCACTGATTAGCACAGCTCTAAGGCACTGGGGAACCATTTCTCCAAAACAAACAAACAAAGAAACAAACAAACCCCCTCTGCTTAGGCTTTTTCCATATCTCTGGGAGTAAAACCTTAGTGGGGCCCTGGATGAATCCGCAAACAACCACTCACTGCAGAGAGCTCAGAACAGACTGAACATAATCAATTGTTATCGTTAGCCTGCCTTCTAGTTAATTAACCTACATTTGCTGAAAGCAAAAAATTGTGCTCTTTCCTTGTCTTTCTGTCCCTCCAGAGATTTTCACTTAAGAGACCCTGCAACTTTGGAACATGCTGTTTCAAACCGCTGGAGAGAAATGACATGGATCATTGGCACTCTGACAACCATGTGCTTCGATTTGTGGTGGTGGATGCGTAGATGCGTTCAGTGCACCTGCTGCACAGCCCAGTAGGTTCTGCTGTGAGCAATTCTTTCAGCACGCCTTACAGCCAGGAAGGGTGAGGTGCTACGAGTGATCAGCTCAGGAAACAGAGGCCCTGTGCTGCTGATCCCCACCCCCTTCTGTTGCTTTTGCACTGCTCAGTGGTGGTGTAGAAACAAGAAGGCCTCTTCCTGCCCTGGCAACACTGCAGCAGCTTCCATGCCACTAACGGGGGCACAAAAGCAAGATGCCCCACTGGGATTCTTTGGGATAAAGCCTTCTCTACCTCTGGGTGACCCTGAAGCAGCTGGCATCACTTCTTCTGCCCCACTGAGCAGCAAGCCCTGGAAGAGCCTCCCGTCCACCCGCGGCAATCGTTTCAGCACGGCCGTATATGTATGTATCCCCTGCGCATGCAAGGCGTATCCCCAGGCTGCCTGCTGGTGCCTACACTTGTGCCCATGGATGGGCCGCTCCTTCTTTTTGTACGCAGCGTGTCCACCAGACCCAACGTAGTCACATCTGGCGCTGCAAGGGAGCTCATCGGAGGCGGATCCCGACTGCGGCTTCAGAACTTTTTCGAATAACAGCTCTGTGTGCTTGTGTGTGTGTGTGGGGTGGGAAATGGGACCAACAAGCATGTTGGCAGGAATCCACATAAGGAACAGCATCAGGTCAGGATGGCATGAACTTTGTAACAGTGCAGAAGAATCAGAGAAAGGAGATGGGAAGCCTAGATGCTTGTAACCTCAACTCTTGAGGAATGTAAAATGTTGCTGTTTATGGCAAGGTTTGTTTAGAAAAACAATATAGAGCGAGGAACTTGGAAAATTACTATGTGCTTAGTTATTCTTTTCTCTTAGGTTTTGTGACATGTATAAATTCTCGACAGACTGTCAAATGGAAACAGTGTTTTGAGACCTGCTTTCTCACGCACTGTCACTCACGTGCTTCTGTAGTGCCGTTCTAACAAAATCATTGTTTTTCTTTCATGTTAGTTTATGGTGAGGATCACAGCTGTGATCTGATGGAATGCTGGAGTAAGCCTGTTGTACTGGGATGTGCAATTTGGCCATAAGCCTCGTGGGTTTTGTTGCCTCTTGCCTGGAATTTCAAGGACATCAAACACTGAGCAGACCACATTACTTGCCATGCCGCCCAGGGGGTGATGGGAGTCGTAATCCAACACATCAGAACCACATCAAGCTGGAGGAAGCAATAGATATATGCAAAGGCACCAATGTTCCGACCTCCATGGACAGAACAGACATTGGGAACAAGTATGCAAAAAAGCTGCTCAGGATACCCCTTCCATGACCCTAAAGTGGCTATTCTTGAATAAAAGGAATTTCAACCGCAAGTATCCATGTGAAATGAAGTGCCCTTCATCAGGAGATTCAACTCAGCTTCCTTTGGTCTGAAAAACAGCAGAGGTTGCTTTTGCTTTTCAATCACACTGCATAAATAACCAGCTTACCACTTCAATAATGTCTGCATATCATTCAGTAATATTTCTGAACAGCAACTGTTAAGATAATTATCACCATCTGTATGCTCTGCATTTCAGCTCCCTTGGACAGCAGAGTTTGCACCTCTCAGCCACCCGCTCCAGCATGTGTATGTAAATCTGCCAGTCTGAGGTTAATACTTCATGCATCTGTTGAAATAGACAGCTTCCAGCAAAGCTTATGCCTGAATAAATGAGCTAGTCCTTTAGGGATCACAAGACCACATTTGCCACAGCAGAGTAAGTCTCTTTGGACTTACTTCTCAGTAGATACATTCAACATTGTGTTGCTGGTGTCCTCTGGGCCAGATACCCTCCTTCACTGACTCCCCTGCGATCACTCCTCCTCCTCTTCCTCCACACGGCTTCCACTTGCTGGCTTGATAGCAGAGCACGAAGGAGTGAGTGGCCAGGGCATCTCCCACTGCTTCTCTTCACCACCACCTTCTTTGTCTGGGCCAGAGGGAGTGAGAGGTGGACAACCAAGCTGTAATGGTGAAGAGGAACAACTCCAGGAAGCCCTTGTCCACAGGCCCCTGCTGGGTGTGGGCCCCCAGCTCTTCCTACTCTTGATGCCAGCCCTCTTACCCTGTAAACTTCAATGTGAACCTTCACCACCCCTGACTCTTCTTCCCTTCTCTACTCCAGTCCCCGTCTGTGTGGGATCCTTCAGCTTCCAGCAAAGTTGCTAATACCTAACAGGATGGCTCCTGCAGCGTTTCTTGCAGCTTTCAATAACCTCACAAGCGATGGCCGGGCTTGAATTGACACGGGTGTGGAGACACAAATGAGTGTGATTTGGGTAGGCATGTGTCCTATTTTGCAGAGAACAGTCCTATATTTGAAGGGCTGTACAGTCCAAGTTCAGTCTAAAGATGAAGAGTGATGAGGAAAGGATTAATAAGAGTTTAAGTCTGAACAGAGAGAATGTTAAGGAAAATAAATGGTAATTGTGGCCCGATAGATAGAAAAGAAGCTAAGAAGTGTGCTTGTTGATTAATGTGGAATGACAATCAGAAAATGTAAAAGTCCTTTGCGTTCCAAATAGGAGCCACACCTGAGTCATGCCAACATTTAAACTGATTAAAGGAAGGCTACCAAAAGTGTATAAAGGGTGTTAGACTGCAACTGGTTTTAGTTACCACTGCTCTATGGTACTAACCTCATGCATGCAAGAAACTGGCATTTTTAAATGTGGCAAATACTTTTATTTTGTAAAGACCTCTGAAATTGAACCAGGGGGGAGGCTCCAGCTTCTCCAAAGATGAGCTTGGAGTCCCAGCACTAGAGCCAGCAGGAGGTTATCTGGGGACACTGAAGAGGTCTGTGAACAATTATTGGACCTGGATGGCTGACTGAGCACACGTGCAAGCCAACACGACAATCACAGTCTTCCACACAAATTCCGTTTTAAATTACAGCAATTATTTCCCAGCGTGCACCTATACCTATATATTAGCAAATGCACATTTTATGCACGTTTGCACCCCCTTTTGACTCCTCCCATTCTGGTCCTTTTTAAAATAATGTATATGTGGTGACTGTAAATATGATAAATGCCCTGTGTCCGAAGAGCTTGGCAGCCCCTTGAGTCATTTTTTTAAAACTATGGTCTGCTTTTGACAGTTCAAACTTCTATACATTTATTCAGAAATAAGTCCCAGTTAATGGGGCTCACTCCCAAGTAGGCATACCTAGGATTACAGCCTTATACATGAATGCATGGACAGAAATAGAATATGTAGAAAAGTATTTATTCAAAATCACAGATACAAAGGATATGTTACTGCATGAACAAACAAATTGCACAGGCTATAACATCATTTATATGTCATCATAATGAAAGCAAAACTCGTATTTTCTTTGGAATTTCAGCATTAATATTTTTGCTCCAGGAGAAGATCCAAATCTTCCTTGGAAAAATTTAATATAGTGAGTTAATTTCATCATCTAAATTTTATGCTGCCATTTTATTTCCCCATCTTAGTACTTGCTCAGCACCTAGCACCCACTACAGATATAAATGTCTAATGCTGCATCCTTAATTTCTTTCTGAATGGTACCCTTAGCATACATTAGAAAAATGGTAAGAGGATGATGTGGAAATAATCATTAAAAAAATCCCAAGACAAATGGAATAATATTTTCAACCTCCTCTTCTGACCGGGAGCTGAAGATGCCAATGTACACAGGGTAATTTTTGAAAATATGTTTAATTTATACCCTCTCTTTCCATATTTAAAATTCAAAGAGACCTACAATAAAATGCATAGCGAGTTGTTAAAAAATAAACAGCAAGTTACTGCAACTGAACAACAAAATAAAACATTAAAACAACAGCAAGATAAATACATATTAAACTATTAGTAGCTACAAACAGAACCTGATTCTGAAATAGGCCATATGACTGGAGTGGGGAAAAGGCCTTCCTGCTCCATTGTTGTCCCATTTCCCCTAAAGACATTCCTGTGTGTATTCCTTGAATGGTCAAAGAGTCACTGCCAAGGGTTGGAATTTTCATCAGGAAAAGCAAGGTAAGAAAAGTGTTAACACCCTCCAATTTAGCACTACAATTCCAATCTGAACACTGCCCCTCTTTGCAGCCAGGAGGAAAACATATACAGAAAGTTCTTTGTAGATCTACTGCAAAATGTTGACCCTCTGGCACATAGGTCAAACCCAACCTGTTTGGAATCACAGCCTTGCCTCTTTACAGGGCTCTGCCCTCATTCCTGCCCCACCCATTTCCCCCAACATTGGTGGTAGTTTCCCATCTTTTGTTCAGTTTCCCCCATTCTAAAAGGTAGAAAGCCCTCTCCTAAGGCAGTGCAGTTACTGGAAAGATGAGCATCAAGATGGGGTATGAGGCGAGACTGAGGGAACTGGGTCTCTTCAGCCTGGAGAAGAGGAGACTCAGAGGGGATATGTTGGCGACATACATGTATGTGAGGGGGTGTCACACGGAGGTGGGTGGAGACCTGTTCTCCCCTGCAGAGGAAGGCAGAACGCGCTCCAATGGAGCAATGCTCAGGGAGCCAAGGTTTCGTTTGGATGCCAGGAAGCACTTCCTGACAGTCAGGACCCCGAGGGTGTGGAATGGGCTTCCACAAGCGGTCGTTGAGGCCCCATCGCTGCAGGTGTTCAAGGATAGGCTGGACGTCCACATGGTGGGCATGTTGTGAGCGGAGCTGGCTGGTGCCGGAGGTCAGACTAGATGGCCCGGGAGACCCCTTCTGACTCGCTCTGTTTCTATGTTTCTAAGATGAAATGTGCTACCGTATTAGCTATTTCTGGTATGGTTAGACCTGGTCCCTTTTGCCTTTGGTCCCACCCGCTGCTGAAATGCCAGTCCCAAGAATGTCTCCAAAGGGGAATTTGATCCTCATTCTGAAATAAATTCAGCAGCCCTGGCTGCATCTGCTTTGGCCCTAACTCAGCCTGAAATACCAGTCAGTACCTGATTATGAATGGCAAATGCTAACAGATGCCGAAGATAAGGCAACCAATAGAAATGACGAATCTTTCTATTAACTTACAGTCTAGATGTTTGTCTCCTACACAGCGAGGGAAGTTGTCCTTACCATAAATCATGGAGCCCATTTTTCAGATAAATGAAGAACGCATATTAAAGAAATAGCTTTATATACTTACCACTCCCCAAACAGCATTTGTTTCATGAAGCAATTCTCAAAGTAACGAATGTGTAGAGGTATCACATTCATCAGAGGAATATAATATTGTATAATTCAAGAAGAAAGATAGAGCTGTGAAGGAACTGGTGGGTGGGAAAAGAAGCCAGCTTTTGATAAGTTTAATGTCCTTTCCTTGGTGTTCTGTGTAAATAACGGGGCAATGGAACCCTCATAGTCTTAATGAAATTGTCAAGATACTTCCTTTTGTAAGGGAGATTGGCTGATTGCTCTTAGTTGCTGGTTTTCTGGAGGGTTAGGACAGAGTTGGAAGCAATCTGCAGCCCTCTCGGAGTTCTGGACTACTCCTAGAATCCCTCATGTTGGCCTGGCTGGCTAAGGGTTCAGAGGTTGACCAAAACAACTGGGCAGTACAGATTTGCCTCCCTGTCCTGAAAGGGGGAATACCTCTCCTCAGGATGATGTGATCAGGCAATACAGAGTTTGGGTTCAGTAAACTAATGGTATTTGCTGGATGCTGCCCAAGAGGTATGAGAGAAATAGACTTTGGCTGTGTTTAGGCTGTGCTTCTACCTACACCCTTCCTTCATAATTGCAAGGAATACATGTCATATTACAAAAACTCAGAGGCCTCCTTCCAAAGGAAACCAAATTTAGGGCAGTGCTGGAATGCCCCACTGTTTAGAAAAGTGTGGTGAGTCTAACAATACTGCAAGACTTTTATAACAGGGTGATACAGATATGGC